TACTGGAATTTCAGAAAAGCTCTTGACGCCGGAAACATTCAAGCTCTCGGTCATGATGAGCTCGAACCTCATCGACCTTTCGCAGGGATTCTGATGATATTCGGTGTGCATTACCACAAGAAGGAAAAGGGGAAAGAAGTGGTGCTGACAATTCTCAAGGAATACATGATAGGTAATGGATTGAAGTGTGATGTAATTGGTTTCGTTAACAAGTATGATATAGGAGAGAATCATCAGGCAGACCTGCAACGTGCTATGTTTTTAGTGATGTGCATTTTTGAGGAGGGGGGTAAGGTTGATGAACCTGCAAACCTGGTTGCTGAGGCTATTTTAGATGCTTATGATACAGGGATTTGGGGTGATGAAGTTTTCGGAACTATATACCGTTTTTTGAGGTCTCCATACAAGACTTTAGTAGTGGTTGGATTGGTCTTAGCGACTGCCTTGGCATTGTTTTGCAAAGAGAGAAACAGTCCAGAATTGTCCAAGGTCATCCACCAAAACAAATTCGTTGAAGTTGTGCACAAGATGGACACACCTAAACTCGAAGCAGAAGTCGTGATGCGTGTAACAATCTGTGTTGATGCCCTTGAAGAAATGCCCAAGCCATTAGAGAGTTCGTCGTCTGGTGAATGAATCACATATATACCTGTAGAGAATAAGCTAGCTGATAGTAAAGAGAGTATAACCACCTTAGGACATGCTTGCTGATATAGTCAGTCTGCTATTAAACATTGATTCTTTCTAGCTGTTAATGCTTTGTTTAGGTTCAATATCTTGAAATCATGGTATAAAAGTATATAATATATAGTTTCTGTTATTAGCTGTTTTGCTCAAGTATGATGTTGCATTGCTGTACCTAATGAATGGTATATACCGCTTTATTTGTGAGATTCATGATTATAGATCATAACTTTTGTATGCTCTATCGTTCACCAGGATTGCTATTTAGGCAAATCACTAATTCTATCCACATTACTATTATTGATCAATAAGTTAACCTCATAAACATCGTCATCGTTGTTTCTCCTTCTCTTTGAAATAAGGTTGTAAATGTCTTTTGAGGTAAAAGGCTTATCATAGTCCTTCAAATTCCTAAAAGCACGTTAAATATAGCTTGATTAGTATTCGGAGAATTATTACAGTGTAAAGCTCCGAGAATGATCGCACCAGGGGTTAGGATTAATTCATCTATTGACTGATAATCGAATACAACTGCTGCCTCCTTAATGAAAAACGTAAAATTAAACCTAGTTAGCGCTAGAACCGTATTCTTCAACTATTCGGCAATGACAGCAAAATTAGTGTTGAAAATTTGCAAACAATTCGGCAATGACAGCATGCACATAGAAAAGTTCTAGAGACAAATTGGATAATTATAAGCAATTTTTTTGTTTACGTAGTATGTATATAGTATTAGTATATAGTTCAATAGTCCAAGAACCATAATTAACTACCCAAATTAAGGGCCCCAGATTATACATATTCCAATGACTAAAAAAAAAAAAAAGCATACCTCAAAAGAAGGGTGTAGCGTAAAAAAATCGATCTGAAATTGCAAGGCAAAAACTTGAAGGCTAAATATTCTTTATTGAGCATTTAGAATATATACAACACAGAGAGTATGGCAAAAGTCATCAGGAAAATACCTAATTAACTTTAGGAAATAAATCAAATAATGTAATCTTTTTGTTTATTTGAAGGAAAATAATATTATCTTACCCTCTTAGACTATTTCGGACCCTTTTCCTTTAATTTTATTTAGTTTTACAATTTAGGTTTCAATAAATCTACACAAGTAGTGTAGATATTAGTCCGTCCCCCTATGATGGGGTGGAGTCGTTAGTTTAGTTGTTTGTTTCTGTTTAGGATTTGTTTGTGTGTTAGGGTTTATAAAAAAAGTAATCATCTTTTGCCCTATTGTCAGTTCTTTGGTAAAGATTTGTTCGGGATCGCAACGGTTGTCAGGTTTTCAAATGCATTCAAGCGAATCAAATGGGAATCATCCTTACGGCTACAACAAATCGATAGGCCGTCTCTCCAAAAAGGCTGTATTTCCAGCGATGTGTGCGAGAGATGTATCACGGTGCAAGATTTTTTCAACGATCGTAGCTTTGATGAAGGAAACCCTAATTTGATTCAATTTTATATATTTGTTAATTTAGATTTCATTTGTGAATGTCGGATGACTTTTTATTAATAAATTGATTTGTTTCAAAAAAAAAAAAAAAAAAAAAAAGAGTATACGAGCATTTTATAGGAAAATGAAATTTAAAAAGAAAAAAATTATGTAACATAGAACAAAGTACAACTACTCGAGATCAGTTCAATCAACACATGGTAATATATTCGACTCAAAATGACAACGTGTCAAGTCGAGTTACCCTAACATGAACTCGAGAATCATAAGCGATAAAGCACCCCCTAACTCACTAAGGCCCTAACTCCCTAAGTAGTAGAACACTCCGTAGTTAACGAACCCAAGCCCATTTGCCAATCCCAATTTCAAAGACGCGCGCTAACTCTCTTTTCTTTTTATTCAAAAACGAATAAAATACTCAGAGTTTGTCATTAATCAACTGAATTTGTTATTCCTCATCAACCTCTCTCCCTTCAACTTCTCTCTCTAAAATCAGCAACTTAACACACTCAACATCTCTCTCTAAAATCAACAATGGAGGAGAATAGACCAGCTAAATTCGCTAAAACGGAGGAGAAGACTCAAGAAACAGAAATGGCGGATCATCAGAAAACAGAGGATCATCATCATTCTTCTCAAGAAACAGAGGAGAAGACCAAAATATCACCAGAAGAAGCAAAGGAGAAGAAGAATACCTCACCAGCTAAAATGGCGGAGGACCAGACAACTGAGATTGATTTTGATGAAATCGATCATGTATTCAATGAATTCCTCGCTGAAAAAATTTTGACCGAAGAAACTGACGCTGATCGTAAGTTTAATTTTCTAATGCTTTCAGAATTTCATTTCCAGTTTATACGATTAATTAATAATATCAAGATTTAACTTAAATAACGTAGTGTTAGTTCTTGAGGAGATCACAAAATTCATGAATGATTTTATTATTCAATTGATTTCAGGTTACTAGCTTATAATCTAATTGTTTCTAGGGTTCTTAATCAAGGAAAATAAAAGATTCATGATCAATTTTGTTATCAAGAATTACTCAGTATGAAGTATGTTAGTCGTACAAGCACATTATATGATATATAAGCATATTTTGATGTTATTATTAATATATTGTTACTTATTAGTCGTACAATCACATTATTATTTGATATAGGCATATATGAAGACAATAATTATTACGTGTTAGTTTACAAGTATTAAACATATTTTGATATAAGCATCTTAATATTTCAATTTGCTGCTATGACGGGATGTTACATAAGATTATAATCACATTGTAAATTATAAGTCATAAATGTATGTTCTACTTGTATATGCAATTTTTGTTATACTACAAGTATGTTAGATGAAATCGGGAAAAAGTGTAGGATAAGATGCAAGTGTCCGGTTTAGCAATTTTAAAAATTAGTGACCATCGGACTCTTTTCAAGATTTGGGCACGGCCACACGGGACACGACAATCATTATATATGTATATAATTATAATAAATATATTTTAAAGATTTTTTTAGAAAGGAATATGAAATTAATTATTTCTTATTTATTTTTGATTTTTTATTACAGAAAATGGGATCTCTGTTGATGAATTTTTTCAGAAAATTGGAGCTTCGACTGTTCTTGCGTCTTATACAGAAGCTCTCGAATCCGGAAACATTGATAAACTCGGTCATGACCTTGAACCTCATCAAGCTTTCGCAGGGATTCTAGTTATGCTCTGTGTTTATTACAACCACAAGTATACAAAGGAAGAAGTATATTTGGTGCAGAAAATTCTCAAGGAACACATGATAAAATCCAAATGTGATGTCGTTGGTTTCACCAAGAAGTTTGGTTCAAAAGAAATTGATCTGCAGGAAATCCTGCAACGTGCAATGTGGTTTGTGATGTGCATTTTTAATCTGGAAACCGAGGTTGATGTACGAGCAAAAATGATTACAGAAGCTATTATAGACGCGTACCTATCAAGGATTTGGGATGATGGAGTTTTCTCTACTCTAAGCAACTTTTTGAGGTCTGAATACACGACTTTACATAGGGTTGCATTCGTCGTAGTTACTGTCTTGGCAAAGTTAAGCAAAGAGAGAAACAGTGAAGAATTGTCGTCGATGATCCATAAAGCCAAAATTGTTGATGCCATGCGCAAGATGGACTTAACTAAACTCTCTGAAGGAGTCCGAAAGCATGCAAGAGTCTGTTGTGAAGCGCTTGGAAAAATGCCAAATCCAACCACGAGTTTGTCGGATTTGATGGCTGCTCTTGCTGGTAACGCAACTACTGTATTGGAGAAGCAGGCACAATGACTAATTCTACTTGAAATCGAATCATGGTTGTGGAAGCACGCTGTAACTGGGGATACTTGGAAGTGTTGCATATGTGTAGAGAAACCTTACCTTTGGTATAAATTTTGGATATGATCATCTATGTTAGTTGATAACTGCAGTAGAAAAGAGGCTAGCTGATCTATAGTAAGACTGTAAGAGTCATATATGTTGGTATACGGAGTCGTATAATCTTAGACTATTTGATAAATTTTTATAGCATGTAGTAGAATAAGCCTGCTTAACATTCTTTCTGCTATTGCTGAGTTGAGGTTCAATATCTTGAATTCATGGTATAAAAGTATGTAGTATATAGTATATGCCAAATTCTGATGAACTTCCCGTCAAAAAAAAAAAAAAAAAAAAAAAAAATCTGATAAACTTAGATTGATACTCGTACAAATTAGCTTCTATCATGTTATCCTTAACTAGCCGAGTGTCCCACTTCCTAGGAATACGAGTGACAACGCCCTCAATCTACTTAATCTAGAGGCCAACAACCTTAGTCCTTGAAAATGTGAGAAGCAAGAACCTGCAAAGTTGCTCCATAGCTTCCATTGTAACCAGCACCAAAAGATCATAACATTGCCTTCGCATATATTACGTATAATACAACGGCAAAAATTTAATCACTAAAAGACTGCCACAACATATTTATGTATTGTTACTGTATCTACTCATCTTGTGCAGAAGCATCTGAAAAACTAGCTGCTAATGATGGAGCTTGCATGACTTGTAGCTTGTTAATACTGATGAAAACTGAAAACAGTCGAAAATGAAATAACTACTGAGGTCCGTTTACAACTGAAGCCTGTCTTGCAAGTGAAGAGGTTGTTAACCACATTGGACGTCCCAGCATTGCACTTCCATGGACAGAAAGATAAGCTGCATTGAGCCTGGATGGAGTAGGATGAGAAAAAAATTAATAAAAAAAAGTTAGTATCAGAATTTGCCATAAAAAATTCAGATGAAACACAGCGGAAAAGAAGTTGGGAGTACCGATCAACATCCTGTGTAGCTAGGGGATCAAATAGATCCTCCCTCTGCTCCATTCCTTGAACAACACTGGAAGCAGCAGCCATGTCTTGAACACCTTCAGGCTGTAATCAACACCACAGCTAGTAAAGGTGAATACCCGAGCTATACGAGGACAAAAGACTGGCATTTTAACTTATCTACTGAATTTCAACCTCTGTGCGTCTAGGCATAAACACTCCTTTCCCATCCCCAGCACCCAACAAAAAAGAAATTTATAGCAGAAAGACTGCATATTGCTAAAGTCCAACATCCAAGCTTCAAACATTATAAACAAATCTTAATTTTGTGCTGTAATCAAAGCTTCAGAGGTTAAAAAATCCTTTCTTGACCCCCCCCCCCCCAAATAAAAAAAAATATAATTAAGTATACAATGAATATGTTCTGCATTAGCAAGATCCATATCAGCTCATCAGTCATCTAGCAAGTTCAAATTATTATTCAAGTTGTTCACATATTCATGCTAGTTTTTCAATTACCCTGTATTCCCATCTTTTTCCTTCTTGCTAAAGGATGTTCTTTCAATTCTATGCAAAATTCATCAGAAACAGCATTCATATATCATCCCCAGACCCTACCCAACCATGAGAAGTTTGTATCATGGTATGTTACGGAAAAGTTGAGGCAAGGCTCAATTCCATTTCCATTATGACAGAAACAAGCAAACAACTGTATTAAGAACTTAGGGATAAAAACCACACCTGTTGAGGATATTGAGCATACCCAGCATATGCATTGTACGCATATAAGGATGGGTCCTGAACAGCACCATATGCATAAGCATCATAACCTTGCCCATAGCCATAATATGCACCCCACTGACTTGGATCAACTTGCTGAGCCCATGCAGCAGAGTCCTATAGATATTTTAGAGTCAAGTATCAGTTTCTGAATTTGCTTAAAAACAAAGCTGAAAGCAAATGTACTCCAAAAGGATGCAATATACACAGAGGACTTTAAATTTCCAGGGAAACATTACCTGCTTAGCAGTTGGGCTCTTGCCCCATGAAACACGCACTACTTGCTGACCGATTACAGTTCCTTGCAGCTTCTGCATAGCTTCTTCAGCAGATGCCCTGCAAACAGCACCATATATTTCATTGCTAAGTTATTAGTCAAAAGAGAAGGATAACACAGATAACCAGAATATAATCGAAACAAAGTCAAGTCTTCAGGTAATCTTAAAGAAGAATCCATTCAGAAGAGGCTAGAAAAAAGCAGAGAAATAGACAGTATATCTATACTAAAATCCTGCAATGTTGGCACTTCAGAACAAGATTCCAGCTTCAGAAAGCTACATACACCTACCTAGTTGCAAACTGCACAAAGCCACATCCCTTACTAGCTGGTATCTTGACATAGCCAATCTCTCCAAACTGCAAGCAATGCTGTCTAAGCTCTTCTTCTGTCACATTTGGGTCCAAATTGCCGACATATATCTGCCAAAAAACCAAAAATAAATAAATAAGAAAATAAAAAAGGGTACATGTAAAAGCTAATAAGAATTTATAAAAAGTCGAAATTACACATGGTCAGTCTCTGAATCCCACTTACCGTAGTATTGTTCGGATCATTTTCTACTGGCAATGGTTGTACTGGTTGGATTGGCGGCACTACGTATGTTGGAGCGGGATATAAGGCTGTCACAGTAACAAAAAGTTGAATACATGCTGCATAATCAAACTCGCAGAGGAAAAGTTCCAGATGCAAAAATGTCCTGAGAAGACTTGCAAATAAGTATTGATATGCTATATGCCTGAAAATAGGTTACCTTTTGCTACAGCATACTGCTGCTGGATCCCTGGTGACTTTTTAGGAGTGGCAGCACTAATACGCATGGGCCTTGACAAACAATATTGACCATTCATTTCAGTCATGGCTCTGTTTCTCTCTGTTTCATCTGCAAATTTAACAAACCCGTATCCCTTTGAACGACCAGTGCTAGGATCAGTTACAACCTTTGCTCCCCTAACTGAAGGATAGTGAGCCCTAAATGTCTCTTGCAACAAATAATCTGAAACATCAGGGGCTAAATCACCCACAAAGATAGAATGCTCAGGACCTGCATCAGGTCTTCTTTCTCCAATCCCAAAAGATGCCCAATTTAATCTGAAAGGCTGCTCAGTTCCTGGCATGGGAGTTCCATTATATGATTGCAAAACACGTTCAGCAGCTGCATGTGAAACAAATTCAACAAATCCATACCCCTCTGGATGGCCAGTAAGCTTGTTACGTATGACTTTCACAGAAATAACCTACAAAGATAATTCACAATATTTTACTACGACATCAACATTACCAATAACAATAACAGTAAAAACAATCACCACACCCTGTATCATTTTCACAGAAGCAAGGTCAGGAGAGGCCAGAACATACACTGCTTTTGTCCTAACCCATCATAGAAACTACGCACGATTCGAGAGGGGGCCATTTCCCATGAACAAAGGAAAAAAAAAATTCAAGTTAACTATTCTTAGCCAGGCTACTCAATCCATGTCTTCTGAAAGTGAATTACTTGAGAATTTGAGATCCTCAGGAGCATTCTTGTATGTCTTTAAACAGAACATCCACAAAGCAATTTTCTACACTCTCCAAGTGTTCTAACTCCTATATGTGAGCTTTTACTCCTATCTTTATTCCACCACTAGCTGCATTTATTTTCAAGTGACTAGATGCATTACTTGTCGATATGATAATGTGTTCAAAACTTTAAACTAGTGACACACCATTTTCTTATTGTTACAGGGGAAAAGGAGAAAACTGGAGAGGCCTCACTGCCACAATAGATGGTGATATATGTTATGACAATAAAAGGCATACAATGTACATACTCCACAGCTTATTTTACCATGACAATCTTGGTACAACCAGAAACCAAACCCTGCCCCCTAATGGCACCCACATATCAGGCTCTCAGCCAGTCAGTCCCCACCAACCGCCTCACCGGACCTCCAAAACCTAATATCCGAACATCTTTCCAACTCCCGATGTGATTATTCGACTTACAATAGGAGCTTAAGATCATACAAGGGCATTGAAGAAGTCTCAAATCGACTAAACTAAGCAATACATATCAAACAAATTCAAATTACATTCTCAGAAAACCTGGATTTAGCTCAAAGAAACAAGGCTCGTTCAAAGTAGCTTTATTCTTGCTGTAAATCATTGAAAAATCGAACTTTAATTACAAATTCTTCATCAATAGATAGACAACGCCAAATTCTATTTTAAAACATATACAATTAAATAATTAACCAACCCATCAATTAAACAGCTACAATCCCAACAAAATTAATGGATTTCTGCTTCCAGAAATAGTGTTGGAATTATAATTAACAACAAAAAATCAGAAAACCCACAAAACCCCACCTCAAAAATCATAAAAGGAACATAAAAAATGATAAATTTAGCACTCAATCAAAATCAATCAAAAAAAAAAAAAAAAAAAAAAAGAGAAAGAGAGAGATGATACCTCGCCAGTTTGGGCAAAGCAACTGTGAAGATAGGATTCATCAACCCAAATTTGAAGGTCACCAATCCAAAGGGTTCGAACTTCTTCTAGGGTTTGTGGTTGATGATGGTGCGGTTGAGGGTGAGGAGCTGCCATTGTTGTTTGTCTTCGCACTTCTTAACTTTCCTAACCTTTCTTTTCTTTTCTTTTCTTTCAGTTTCGTTTGTTTGAGTAGAAGTAGAGCGGCAGAACTCTTGTGTAGTGGCACAAGGTAAAATCGCTACGGGTGTTAGCAATTGGCCAATTGCCGATTATTGATCACTATTATAGTATTATGTTACCGAGTTATTTGACATTAGAAAATGTAAAACCCGCCACTAATATAATTGCGTATAATTGTTAACATTTAATTGATTTTACCTTATGCATGAATTTGTATTCTATTAAGTCGAATCAATAATCAGAAAAGGGGTATGTAAAAATACAGAGTACGAAGAGTATAAAAATAAATCTATTATAATACGGACATGTACACTTACACAAACACTGATATTCATTAACAATTACTCCAAAATAAGAACCATTACAAGCTCATACGAAGTATAGATAAAGCTTCCATCGCAAAAATTATGATTTTTATGAACTTTGTATTAGCTTCGGCAACTCTTCAATCCATCTCTCATATCGATACTTGGTAAAATCAACACGAGGGATCTTTAATTTGTTGTAGCCATGAAATTAATTTCCATCTAATTTTAGTCTTTGTAAGTGACATTTTGTGTTTACATTGGAAAAATTATCATAAACTTATTGGATCAGCATACTGACACATAGGCTTGGACTATCCTTTTGTAAATCTCAACATATACAGCCCGTAGTTTATGAGTTAGGCCTAACTAGCCTCAATTCACACTAACTCACTCGACACGACCCACAACTATCAATAGATACAAGTCCACAAGGTGTACTCATAGAGCCCAGCACCTGAAGTCGTATCATTTTCAAGACATGAGTCAACTCCAAAATGATGATGCTAATGATTATATTATTATGCTGCTAATTAGTGTACTTAATGAATTAATTAATCATTTTGGGTTGTTGCTCACACGTCATGTGCATACAAAATTACAAATTATGATAATCCCAGCATTTGAACTTTTAGATTGGTCTCCCATCTTTCTCTTCAGATCAATGCCTCCCTAATTATTTTTATTAATTTTATTTAAGAAGCTAATTTATTTTTAAGCTGGAAAATTAAATTTAAGGTGTCAAAGTAATGGAAATACCTGTTATTTTTGTAATTATTCCGGTGGGATTAATTTTCCTTCTTTCAGGCCTCATTATTAATCTCATTCAGGTAACAACACTAAACCCCACTTCATTTGCTGTAGTTTATAATTTGTTGTTATTTTTATTTATTTATTTATTTATAGTCAAATTGATTGTTGAATATACTTCTGAATTCTGATGGGTTTTTCTTAAATAATGAGTTTAATGTTGGTTCTGCTGCATAAAATTGTTTGATGGGTTTTTAGTTTTGGGTAAAATTGATAGCCTAGAATTATTATCTTTGAATTGAAATTTAATTAGGCTAATATATTAATCATCTGATGGATTGTTATATAACATGCATTGTGGGTATATTAGTGCAATTTACACTAAGTTTAGCATTAAAATGTATATGTAAATATGTTTGATTAAAAAGGGAAGTAGTTCATATGTTCAATTTGTCTGGGCTACAATAGCTAGAATAGAATTTGGAACGAAATGGTGAATGTGTAATGGTTGAAGGTTGTTTATACTTTATATATAGGACTTGGGTTTTTCGGAACGAGTCTTGGTATTGGCCCCCAAATTACTATGTACGAAGTACTACATTAGAATCTTCAATCCTAGAGAAAGTGGGATCAATAATGTGCTTCTTGTTAACTTGTATTGCTTGTTGCTAGGAGAATAGGATATGGTTGATATAATGATATATAATATAATCCATTTATGTGCTTCTTGCCAGAGAGGTGGGTGGACCATTGGATTTAGATTTTTGATTATCTTGTGTTTAGCGAGATTTGTTTTGATGTTGTGTAGTATGATCAAGGCCACAAAATAATGTCAATACACACAGAAACACCATGTTATTTGTCTTAAAACAGAATTATGTCACTATTTCTATGCTAACAGGCTGTATAATTGCTTTTGTGTGTTGTTGATGATTTTCTTTGACTAATATGCATATCTTGAACCCTTTCTTTGTTGTGCTTGTGTGTTCAGGCTATTCTTTATGTCTTAGTTCGACCCCTGTCAAAAGATATGTATCGGAAATTTAACAAAGTAGTAACAGAACTATTATGGTTGGAGACTGTTTGGCTCTTTGATTGGTGGGCTGGCGTGAAGGTTTGAATCGACATTGATTTGCTTTTAGATACATTTACGTTTTCTGTTTCTGTTTTTCCTTTGTTAAAAAATCGGGTTGTTATAGGTGGAGCTGCACACTGATTCTGAGACATTTCATCTAAGAATTCCTTTATTTAAGTACTTCATAACTGTTTGGAAGTATCTAAATAGGTCGTTTTTCCGTATCCTATATTTGTACCTCTTTTATTCAACTTAATGACACCTCTTTCAGGTAAAGAACATGCTCTTCTTATCTCCAACCACAGAAGTGACATTGATTGGCTTATTGGATGGGTTTTAGCTCAGGTGCTCTTCAAAAACTTTATTCTAGATCCTAGAACTACTATAAGTCTATAACTCTATGAATGCAGCATTTGCGTTTGTAACTCTTTTGTTACATTACATTTGTCTAGTACCACATTGCTGAAATGCCTGTATGCTTATAGAATTGTGTGATGTTATAAGATATACTGCTCTAGTTACGGCCAGTTTGCTATAATAACACAATTTTGGAATTATAATTAAAAAAGCTTACACATTTATATCAGAATGGCTTTTGTAATTCTTTGATCATAATCTAGGCCAAATGTCCAATTTTCAGTCATTGACAGCTGTTTGTTTGCTCTATAACAGAGAGCAGGTTGCCTTGGTTGTACTATGGCTATCATGAAGGATGTCTTAAAGTATCTTCCGGTGAGTTTATATTGCTTAAACTGTTTTTGAGAGATTGTGATTCCAAAGTAATATACTAATATGGGTGAAATTCCTTACTAGCTGTAAATAAAACTAGAATTAAGAGTTTTCATGTCTGAGATTTTCAATTTCCGGTGAATTTCTATGGATGAGACTACTGTGTTTCTCCGACAGCAGATCTATATTTATGCAACTGATGTACAAGTTCATTTTTGATGATCTATAAGTTACTCTGAATATTAATTTTAAAAGAAACATTTGACTAACTAAATAAATCTCTTGAGAAGTTGAGAATTTGAGATATTGCTAATGATGATTGTTTCCAACTAATTGCATTCAAGTTTTTTTTTTTTTTTTTTTTTTTTTATGTATGATTATACCGTTCATTAGTTCATGAATAATTCTCTATTGGCTGTACTTACATTCTTATTTCCTTTCATATATAAATCCTATAATTGTAGTTACATGATGAGAGGTTATCCCATTCCATTTATATGAATTTGGATTGTCACAGTTGCTAATTTACAAGTACATGATCCTGAGTTACTCCATCCAAATCATTTTTCAGACTTTGAAAAGTGAAATTTCTCAATGAGTAATGTCTTTTGTGTTGTAGATCGTAACATTATCCATAGATGAGAATAGTAATTTGTTGTAACTTGTAAGAGTTCATGTAAGAAAAAAGTAGCCACATCAGACATGAGTTATGAAATATCCTTGTTAACCAGTAGTTCTCTTATCAAATAATCACCAGATTGAATAATGGACTCAAATTGATATATGATGATTCCATACCGTTAGACCCCTTTGTACTGTGCAATTTATCGCAGGGTGACAGTCAGGGTATGACAATATGGTACTTGTGCAGTGATGGCTTAGTGTTTCTTTATGTTTAGAATCAATAATCTCGTGCAACAAATGCAGGTTATTGGTTGGTCAATGTGGTTTTCTGAGTACATCTTTGTCAAAAGGAAATGGACTGAAGATCAAAGCATCCTAAAGGTACTTCAAGATTATTATTTATTGGTTGAGTTGTTTCTTGTTGTAAAATAACTATTTGATGGTAAATATCACACAGTCAGGCTACGAGAAATTGAAGGATTTTCCTTTTCCCTTTTGGTTGGGCCTCTTTGTTGAAGGAACTCGCTTCACACACCCAAAACTGTTAGATGCTCAGCAGTTTGCTATTTCAAAAGGATTAGCTGTCCCCAGACACGTTTTGCTTCCTCGTACAAAGGTTTCTCTATTTTTACCTATTTTCTTTAGCTTGCTCCCTTCTTTTTATTAACTTCCCTATCTTTTGTGTGAGTGCATGCGTGTATGTGTGCATGCCTATTCTACTCTTGTTGCCTGTTCTAGAGAGTATAACCTTCCGTCTGGTTAATTTCAGGGTCTTATCTGGACTATCAATGTGGTTTGAACTACCTTCTAATGATGTATACTGTTATTTCCATCTGGGTGTTTTCAGGGTCTTATTCTAGCTGTAAATCATTTGCGTTCATTGGTTCCAGCAGTATATGATGTTACCTTCACTGTAGCAAGAGATAATTCCCCGCCTTCATTGCTAACTTTACTAAAGGGCAAATCTTCTGTGGTAAGTACTAGACACTTCTGTCATCATAGTAAGAGAACTATAGTAAAAGAAAACTAGCTTATTGTGCTAAGTAGTAGACAATTCTGTCATTATATATATACTTATATAGTAAGAGAGGCAAAGTAAAAGAAATCTAGCTAATATAGTCAAAAATGCTGATTTTGGTCTTCCCCATTTTCTTTCTTTCTTTCGCTATGATGTGTTATTAGTGCCTTTTGAGACTTTCTTGATGCTGATGTGCTTGCTACTCTATGTTGCAGGTAAAAGTGCAAGTTAAGCGGCATTTGATGCTTGAATTGCCCGAAACAAGCGATGATATTGCACAGTGGTGTACAAACTTGTTTGTGGCCAAGGTGAGGAGACTAGGAGCTATAGTTAGAACCAACAAAATTAGAAGCACCCTAAAATAATGACAACTTTGACAAGAAAGAATGGGGAGAGGGTATTCTGCTGGCTCGTAAAATGAGTATCAGTCTGCATTCTAATTTCTTCTTATTTTAGGAAGGTAAGAAATTATGAATCTCACTAGGGAAAGGGAGTGAAGGGGAAGTATATCCACAAGTGAACATGGGAGGTTAATCCCCAGGGGTACGGCTACAAGGTGGCGGAAGAGATCTTCTCATTTGAAATTTTGGATAGAGTTAAAATTATTCTATCTCTCACGATTTACACCGTAAAATTAGGTAAATAGGTTTAGGCATAAGCTAGCTTCACACTTAACCATTAATAGTATAGCGAATAATGTTGCTGATTTTATATTGCCACTCTTCTCAAATCACTTCTTTGGCTTTAAATTGCATCCATTTTGGAAGGATGTGAAAAGTAATATAACATGAAACATAATTACTCATAGATTGGAACACAATATGATACTGTTTTTCAACTGTTCTCCTGGAAACCATGCTCTAAAAACATTTTATTTGAGTTGCATACTTGTGAATTTTCATTGAAACAAATATTTAACTTAAATAATTCTTATCAAGAAATTTTCCAAAATAGAAAAGATAACTAGAATATCCTCAGTTGATTATTGTGAGGCTGTTTGATGTGAATCTTGTGTCCTTTGAACTCCACCACCAGGATGCATTTTTGGATAATTACTTTTCAGGTGGAAGTTTTGGCAACGAGGAAATTCAAGATCTTGGTCGACCAATGCAATCATTAACTGTAAGGCATTAATTGTTGGCTTGCAACATCTATCTCAAAACTGATTACTATACTCACTCTTTTGGTGTATGATTGTTCTGCATTTGTTGGTTTTGCTTACGAACAGGTGATGATTGTTTGGTCGTGTTTGGTTAGCATGGGTGCTTTCGGATTCTTGTTATGGACCATCCTTTTCTCAACTTGGCAAGGAATATTAGTATCAGCTGTGTTTCTGCTACTTGTTATAGTCACCATGCAGATCCTCATTCTGTTCTCACAGTCCGAGCCTAATATTGATTCTATGCCTATCACGATACTGCCACAAGATCCAATGAAAGAGATTCTTCTTCAAAGTTGAACAGATTATTCAGAACAAAGATTGAAAAGTTGGCCATTCATTTATATTGGTTTATTTTTTTGTTCAAACAAATTATTTTTAGGCTTCACCATCTTATTGTTGTACACTCTCTCTAAAGTTCTTGTTCGGATGGTGACTGTTTAAAAAAAAAAAAAAAAAGTCAAATCATGAAGAACTTCTCAAGACGAAAGCTAGTGTTAATATAAAACACTGAGAAATACACATATGTATACAATACGGAGTAGTTGGTAAAGTTCTTAATTTGTATAAGCTGTTTGAAGAGTTGTATAGGTTGATCAAGTATTGCTTAAGACCTTAATGCATTTTCTTGTGTTCTTAATTAATTTATTACGTTGTGTTGTTACGGCTTTTGAAGTTTGAAAAAGAAATCTTTTAATTCTTACTTCGTTTTATCAGTGGCGGACCCAATTAAGTGACATGGGGGACAGCTGTCCCCCCATTTTTAAAAAAAAATTAAAAAAAAAAGTGAAAAAAAACCAAAAAAAAGCAAAACGTGACACTGCTACAGAACGAAGAACAGCCAACAACACTCAGTCTTAACTCCTCCAATTCGCCATTGCCTCCACTGAGATCGACCGTCGAGGCGTGCGTCACTGCTCCACCAACCAGGCAACCACCGCCCTGCTGCGTCGCTGCTCTCAGTTCCTCACCACTCACCAGTTCACCAAGTCACCACAGCACCACTTCGGTCTTCGCAAATCGGCAGCCTCTTCACTAGCTGCGTGCATCGGCGCCGCCTGCGTGCAACTAGGCAACCACCTTCTGACCGTCGAGCCTCGGTCGTCCGTCACTGATGGTATGTCTTGCTATTTGCTAACCCTAATTCGAAATTCCCAATTTGAAATCCCCAATTGACAATTGTTAACCCTAATTTCTAGATTTTTGTTTAATTATTGTTAATTTTAATTGCAATCTTTGTTGAATTTTAATTTTAATTGCAATTTTAATCTTAGGTTTTACCGTTTTATTAGTATGCATTCTATGCAATGATGTGAATTGTGGAAATTGATATATATTTTTCAATTTAATTAGGAAATGTCAAATGATTCACCTAATTCAAACAAATCCAAGGCTACTAGAAAACAACCCGATCTTCGACAATTCATGTTTAAAAGAAAGAAACTCCATGAAAATGAGTCCAATAACTCCCCCTCATTAAGCTCCCCTCAAAGTCAAGAAGATGATATGGAAATGGGTGGTTCAAGTACTTGTAATGTACCATTGGAGAAAAATTTGGTATACAATGTTGAACTTCTTCCTCATGATCAGTGAAAAAGAATAAATATAATGGATTACCCTGCAAATGAACGAAATGCAGTTAAGAGGAGTTATATTTTTAAAAAACCTTGCCAACCAAAAACTCATGACTTTCCTCAAAGACAAGTGTCTAGTTTACGTCGCTTTAGTGTTCATTGGTTCAAGAAATGTAATTTTTTTCATCATTTTGAATTGTATGACTAAGTATGTTTTTTATTTTGAAATTTTAATACTAAGTATTAACCAATTTGTGTGTTTGAGTTTTTTTTGTTTTTATTTTTTGTTAAGCTTTTTGTAAGTTAAGCATTTTGTCCCCCCGAATTGAAAATCCTGGATCCGCCACTGCGTTTTATGGTTGTTCACTTTAACTTTTTGTACGACTACTATTTATATGTTATTTTTAGCTTTTTTCTCTCTCTTTTTTTATTTTATTTTATTTTTATTTTTATTTTATTTTTACTACTTTACTACTAAGTAATATCTATATCTACAAAATACTCTCAATCTTTCAAAATATCAATCAATGTCAAACGATATTTAATCATAATAATAAAAAGAAAAAAGTTTCATTTTAAATGGAGAATAATTTAAAGTGTCAAGGTTACTTTGTAATCAAATCATATTTTAAAGCAAAAAAACAAAACACACCTTGAATAGGTGGTTTTATTTTTTATTTTTTTTTTTAATTTTTTGTAAGCCGCTGATTTCAATTAGTGGTTTTATACCGACAAAATTATGGTTTCCTTCGTCACATAGAAAAATAAAGCTAGTGGAAAATTGAATTGAATATACCGCTAATCTTGTAACACCCCAAATATTAAAACATACTTTTTTTTTTAAGAAATATTAAAACATGCTTTTTTTTTTTTTTTAAGAAATATTAAAACATGCTTTATCACTCCATCTTTTTTAATGGTTACACTACTACATTTTGACTTTGGTGATCAACATTTAAAAATTTTGACTATGAAAAATATTTTATTTTATTTATCAAAAAGCATATCATATGAGATGTTGTATTCGTCTAAAATATATTTTTAAAATGTCAATTTATTAATAAATTTTACTTAAATTATATTGAATACATACGTATTGTGCATTGAAAACTGTGATGATCAAAATGTATATTACTATAGAAAAGAGACAGATCACAGATATATTATTATTAATGGAACTTTTTCAAACATTTTCCGTATAAGGTACAACTTGTACATTTAATAGATTTACTTGATGCTCTATACAAATAAATACAATTTATCTTCTTAATATTAAGTGACAAAATTATAAATAAATTAATAACATTTTTTTTTTTAATATGGATCTAGTTAATATAATTACAAACATGTCATACTTCGTAATCCGTACTAACAACACATTTTTTTTGTTAATTTATTTATAGTTTTGTCCTTTAATCCATGTTTTTTTTTGGGATTATATAATAACTAACGGGACGTTTACAATAACTTATTCCGTGTTAATTTTTTTTTCTTCAATATAATATCATATTATCTCATGTCTCATCCGATCTCATCAAATTTCAACACAATCTTTTTATTCGGTCCAAATTATAATATAAATCTCAATTCACTTATTCTTTGTTCATCCTCTTTTGTCTATTTCTTTCTAAATTTTATTTATTTCTTTCTAATTTTGGAGATTTGATTAATCTGCTAGTGGTAGAATACTCACAGTGATATTCGAAAAAAAAAAAGATGGGATCTTTGATGAGTGAAGAAAAAGTTGGAATAATTGAAGAAAAAGAATCATATGAAGCTATACTTTACATCAATGGTGTTCGTAAAGTTCTTTCTGATGGTTTAGCTCACTTGACTCTTCTTGAGTATCTCAGAGGTATAATAATAATAATAATAATAATAATTATTATTATTCTGTAATTTTGTTTTTAATTGTTATTTAATTGTATATTAAGTTGAAAATTGTATTATATTCTGTATTTTGTGAAGTTTATGATCATGAGTTATGCTGTTGTTACGGTGCTTTGTTATTGAGGAATGATGTTTGAATTTTGATGGGAAATAATAGATTTGTATGATTGTTACAGTAGAATTAGGATATTAGCTAAATGATAGGCCCCTTACTCCCTGGTTTCCAAATTTTTTGTCGGTTTCGCTTTTCGAGGTTGAATTTTGATCAATTCATCCTCAAATTTGTGGAGTAGATGATAATTGTAGAATGATGTTACTGTAACTGTATCATGAAATGAAATTAAAGTGGTTTTGCTTTAGAAGGTTTTGATTGAGGTGTGTTGGAGAAAATGATTAAGAAAAAGAATCAACTTTACCCTTTTAGCCAAAAGAAATTGAACTTTTCCCTTTTTTTCTAAAGAGGGACAATCCAATAAAATTATGCTTCTGTTTTTTTTTTTTTTTTTTTAGAATAAGATCTATATGATCAATTATGAGCCCAAAAATCCATCCATTTTCTTTAGTGCAACTTTTTGATCACATAGATTAGGAGCTTCAATTGAATAAAGTAAAATACTCTGCAAGCGAGGTTTGTTGGGGAATAAATATGAGTTTATGACATGAAGGCAATATAGAGTAATTGGTTTATTGCAATCTTCTTGTTACGATTCTTGTCTTGCAATTTACTTGGTTTCATTTTGCATAGTAGGACTTTCTCTAATATATTAAATAGCAACCATTCTTTAAGCAAGCCACCACCCCAATGCCCTAGTGAAGACATGGACATATTTTTGGCACTCGATATATTGTCCAAATGAATATAATACTCCGATTACTCCATGGAATGTTGACAACATATCCATCTACTATGTTGAGTTTCTTTCACATCCATATGTTTTTTTCCTCCATCCTTATCATACAATGAAGTAAACAAACATAGGGTGGGCAACTGTAAGCCTACCTTATTTGTTATGCATAGTTTGATGCATTGAGAATGCAACTGTAATCAAGCTTAGAGCCTTAGATAGAGGAGGAATCTGTTTTTCTTATCTCCTATGGCAGTGGAAAGGGGAGGAGAAGCAGGGAAAGAGACTGTGGGAGGAAGAGGTGAATCAAGGGAAGAGGAAGAGAAAGGAGCAGGGAAAACCAAAATGAAATAAGGAGGATTACCTATATCCGATGACAAAATAGGCCCAAAAGATCTCTGTTCTTCTTTTTCATACGGTCATACACTAACACCTTAAAAGTGGCCGAGGGATTTTTTAATTTCTTTGTTTACCAATCTGGTGACTTGGCTTTAAGTATTATGTAGTATTATTTTTCTGTTGCTATTTGATTTGTTGTTGATTAATGATGTTGTGATCAATGCTTTTGGTGCAGATCTTGGCCTAACTGGGACAAAATTAGGCTGTGGTGAAGGAGGTTGTGGTGCTTGTACGGTTATGGTCTCCTACTTTGATCAGCTGCACAAGAAATGTGTGTGAGTCTCTGTAAAACAAAATTATCTGCTTGTTTGCTACTAACTTAAATTAATTATAAGAAACTAAAGAAATCACTGTCGTCATCTGTTTACTATGCTCACATATGTCTACTGAATGATATTAAAATGGCAAACTAATATTATGGTGTGAAAAGCAGCTGTTATTTTCTAGGGCTATGAGTGAATGTAGGGAGCATTGAATCATATAAAAGCCATTCTGTCATACAAAGTTCTATAAAGTTAACTAACTTGTGTGAAAAGCAGTTTGGAATATGTGTGTTATTAAATCACACTATGAAGTCTGCTGTGACTGATAGACCATCATATTATCGCTGTAGCTGTTATAATATGTTATTATTGTCATGTTGCATCTTAGTACTTTTATATTATACCTTTAAGATGATTTAAATTTCATATCTTTGCACCACAAATGTTTAGAATGTCTGATTTTTTTTTTCAAAAACTATGTTATCCAGTATACATATGATTATGCTCCAAAAATAATGAATTAGGATTATATTTATATGTTTTATAATTGTGAGTAACCTTAGAAGAATGGCGTAGTTTCATCTTTAGAATTTTGACATGTCCTTTGTCTGCTTAATTTTTATACCATTCTGATATTAGTTACGTCTGTTTGATATTTGGCATAGCTGCACTTTGTTCTAGCAGGATTATGACATCACTCCATGTGGGTCGAGCATCTTTTTTTCATTATTGTTGCATCTATAATGGTTGACAAACCAAATTAAAGAGATAGTTTTAA